TATATATCATGACTCGTTATCTTTTTGCCAATCTATTTTCTGTTCCAGTTTTATAGTCCGTTCCCTATATTCGCTCACATTATTCTCAACCAAAGATATTTTTTTCTTTTAATAGGATTTTGTTGAATGTTTCTTACAGGTTTGCTGTTCTCATTAAATGCGTTCTTTTAACACCGGTATATAATTGACTGGGATATAAACCAAGTTGGTGTCAAGTATTCCGCGGCAAGTACGCATCAGTTTTAGCATCGCCGGAATGATCGCGCGCTCATACAGTGTTATAATAATCGTACTGCGTTTAACTAGAAATTGTCAAAGGCCAATGCCCCGCAGAACTCGCACATACATTGTTGTTGACTGTTTTAATGGAATACCGAATTTCTTACGAAGCACATGCGGCTCCGCGCGAAACAACTCATACCGTAGCACGAAATTAATAACGGCCGTTCATTGAGCCGTGACTGCTCTCCATCTATACGGAGTCGGCCAATAATGAGCGCTTCTTGAAATAATTTTGTTCTTATGCAGATTCATCATAACTATCTAACGCACGACAATGTCACAACTAAAGAGAATTCACATCCAGCTAGAAACGGTGGCCGTGGATAACACGAATTGTGCCTGTCTAGCACCCGTTCTCTGTTGAAAAACTATTCAAATATTCAATGATCCGGCACCAGTGTTGCAATTGCGTCTTTTTTGGAACCTTCTGCACATGACACTCTCACCAAAGGCCACTAGTTAATAATTAGTTGTCAATATTTTTTGTTCAGCTCTACTTTCTGTTTGTTTTTTGCATTGACATTAGGCTTTTTACTCCAAGGACTATTCGTCGATTAGAAGTAGGTGATTGAGGATAATCATAGAGAAAACTAATGTAGGGGCCACCATTCCACTCGGCACTGCTGAGTCTGCGGTTAATGTCAGTTAGATCACTCTGTTTTAACGAAAGTAATCTCAGATTTTTATTGGAACGTATTTTTGTCGAGAATACGTCGCAATAATGTTAGAAGGTTGATCGCAATGTTCGGTTCAAAACGATGATCATCACTTTAGGCGTGATATGCTTTTATGTAAAAGACATGCAAAGTATTACCAGCCTGATGAGAAAACCAAATGTCTTTAAGTAGCATTTCATGATTTCATGACGTCTTATTCATTTTCATTTTTTGGACTTCAGTCATTAGGCCACGAAAGCCACCCACCTATTTCATGAAATGTTCTATAAACTAACTAGTACTGGTTACTAATTATGTTCACAACTATTGGTGTATTAAAAATATTTTTGCAAGACCCGAAAGCTAGTGTTGATACTCCCACAATGGGCATATAAAGACTTCTCTAGAGAAAAATACAGGAAAGGCTATATCGTAGCGGATTATGCTTCGTTTGCGATACAACATTCGAAATTTACCAAATTGAAAATTGAATCCTTCTGATAGTGTAGTAGTAACACGTTTGCCTTCTAGATTTAGGGACACGTGGTGGTTCATGTTCGAAACCAAGCATGAACGCACACTCGTCTATGCTTGGCGCTCGGACACAGCCGTCTGAAACAGTGTTTAGCGGCACTACCGAACGTCAAACCTGAAATATTAGAGTTCGGAGCTGATCTGCCTCGACGCGGTGCTAGTAGCGAGAAGCTGTACAAAAAGTCAGTTTTGTAAAAGGTCTTTTCAGTAAAATACGATATGAAGCAAGAAAATGAAGAAGCTTAACGAAATAAGTGGAGTATTAACTGCTTAGTATCCGCTGAATAAAGCCTCGCTCAGTTGATGTTTCCATGTATGTAACGGGTAAGCCATATGGTTTCGAGGAAGACGTTTTTTCATTCAGCAGTAACCAAGCGAACGTTTAACGTGGTAACTTAACCGACGGTCAGCAAAGCTAAGGAGGACTATAGGCGAACCGTGGCAAAAACAAGCCGTGTAAACCAACTTATAAGGTTGTAACTGCAAGTCGCCGCGAATGGTGACATGCTTACATTCAAATTTGATGATACATCAAATGGTTTCGGTTCAAAACTTCAGGAAACGAAGATTGGCAAAACGCAGGCGACTACGTACGTCCTTTGCGTGTTTGTAGTAAAAGACAGGGCGGAGAGTACTACTTTCTACTACATACATAATACATAGCGTTAGATGAAATGTTAGAACTTCTGACACTTTAAAGACCTTTACAATGTACGACGATCGGAAAATTCGTAGAATGCATGACAAAGCCAAAAAAAGTTATGATTACTGCTATGGCTTTTTTCGGTGACATCATGCAAAAGAAAAAGAAGGTCAAATGCAAAATACCACGACGGATTCAAGGGTTTTATACCGATTATGCGGCAAGAAAGGCCTAGCGGTGCTTTGTTAAATTACCCCCTCTATGTTTCGAAGTAATTCAATAAGCGCAAACGACAACGGAAAATAGCCATTGCCGGACAGCCCTGACGGGTAAAAAATTAGTAAAGAGTACGGCAATAAAATTCTCTCATCATCTGGAAAGAACATTTGAAAAGATCAGTTTACTACTAACCATTCACCGAGCATCGCAAAAAACTTCATTCCTTTAGTGTTGTATTTTTACCTAGGTTTTCAATGAATTAGCTTTTAGCTTAAACCCAGCCTCATCTACATTAGTAATCAACCTCTACAGCGGGCCACCTAATTGATGCAATAATAGGGACAAAAACGGAATGTGTCATTTATTGTATTATCATGTGTGCTTATTTTTCGTGAGTACATTTTACCTACGACCTATGAATCTGTACAGGATATTAATAATCATCAACTCTACGTGAATATATCAATGACGTTACTAGCTACTTCTTATTTACTCCTTAACAACCCGCAATACCACCACATATCACGAACGCACGTCACGTAAAATAATAAATAACCATTTTTTTGGTCTTTACTATTTATCCCGCTCAAAGCAGTTTGTACAAGAAACTATATTAGATACTTTTGCCGACTTTGGTAGGTTCTTCGTTCGTCCTTCGCAGGGCAACTCAACAGACGACAGACCCACAGAGTCATTCATGTTTAGCTGTTATATGGGCTATTAAAGAAGCTTTGCTTTTCGTTTGCACAAATCGTTTACAGGCGTTTACACGTACGTGACAGACCATATATAGAAACTAAGCTAGGGTTTAGTTGTTACTTGAAGGTTTATTTGACCAGATGACTATTTCTTATTTATTAACAGTTATTGTTATTTATTATTATTATCGGTTATAAACAGCTAGGACTTGCGTCTGATTTACCCGTCGACTTTACATCGCAAGATGGTGGCTAACTTAAAGCAAAGTGTGCACAGTCGAAACGTTCTGCAAGCTGTCAACGCCGCCAAGACAAGTAGCAGATAAATTTTGCGCCTATTATTGTGGCGGGCGCATTCGTTATGAATTTAAATACTTCTAAGAAGGAAATAGAGTTCGGATACCGCGACGACGAGACTCGCTAGGATCGCCACTAGCACCTGTAAGTGTAAAAACAGCCATGTTATATTACTGTAGAAGATATACTGCAGAAACGTTGGAAGAAGTGAGGTACCAGGTCGGATGTACAGTCAGTATAAACTTGTTTAACACTTCTTCTAAGACAATATTTCTGATTAGACGGACATTGTACGATTCGTCATGATTTAGTAGAGAAGTGATTCGACATGGAAGATTTCTGAGAATACGGCCAGTCGTTGGACTTAGTAAGAATGTCACATTACATATTGAAGTGTATTGAATTAACCATTAACGAAAAAACAAATACTACGACTAGTACGTTAAGACATGTTCGTGTCATCGTAGGATTGTTTTTGTGTTTTACAAGATTTACCTGGGCAGGAATGTTCGGCTCTGGCAAAGAGTATTCAACTGCCTTATAGAAAAAGACAAAAGTTCCTCCGATAGTGACAAGCGTGTTGATCATGGCAATATACTGACGCCGCAGTTGACGCCATCCCTCCGGGCCGTCACTGAGGAGAACATCGGTTAAAACACAACATGAACAAAAATATCTTCAATCATTTTTACAAGCTTGGATTCAGTGGATTCAGAAAGACCTAGATTAATTGCATATTTCCAAAATTACAGAGTAAAGTATACCCATTCGAGTATTAACAATGTGAAGCGAAATCGGGTTTAAAAAAGACTAATAATCATTATCTCCAACCTAGTATTCAATATTAAATGAATTAAAAACCTTCAATGGGCCCATAAATTAATAATACACTGGAGATGGGCTTTATTTTACCCGAAAAAAAAAACAAAAAAGAATTATCTGTTATAAGAAGCTACATATAAATGAATAACTACCGTACATATAATGATACTCACTCCGAATTGCCACCTTTTTGAGAAATCCTTTCAATCCCAGCCACCATGGAGTCGTACTCCTTATGTTTCAAGCGGGCTCGAAGCACCTGACATCGCTTTTCCAAAGTCTCACTCCGAGGAGGAACGACTATTGACGGTAAAACCAAGCTGCACCCCGACGTCCACTGAAGTAATGAAGTCCCTTCTGCAATTCAGTTCATTTTCAGCTCCATGACTTCGCTGCTAATCGAAATTCTATGCTCACGTGAATGCACAAATGCCTTTATTAAACCATATAAAAATACCTGTAGATTACGAATTCCGATTATTATTGTCATTATCAATACCCTTATGGTTTTTCCAGTAAGTTTTAATGAGTTTAAACGGTATAGGTTGATCCTTCGCGATCAGTCCTCTCATTTGCATCAAGTAGTCAGGCTGTTCTGCCGCATGCTTTGCGATATCGTTTTCACTGCCGTTAATCGCTGCACGAAGTTCTTCAACAAGTTGAGAGTTCAACAGCAAACATGTGCAAGGGGCTGAATACGAATAATTACTCATATTTGTTTTGGCGCAGCGTCTCAACACTACGGGGAATACGTTTGATTCTGCTGGCACTTGCAGTCAAGAACTGTCTGCACTGCAACGACGAATATAAACAGAAATAAAGGTATGATTAGTTTGAATAGTATGAAAATTAACCTACTATTTCTAGCGAGCTGTCCGAGCTCGTTTACTTAGTTAATGGAAATAAGAAGCCCATATCTAAACAACAGGTATTTGTAAGGATACATTGAATTGGGTGCATACCGTGAAATATATAGCATCAATCCAAAATTTAAGTTGCCACGTGGAGGTTTCTGTATTCTTCCGAACAGAGCACCTCGTACAAATTTTGGACAAAAAAGACATTAGCTAAAGACAACTAAAGGCAACTGCAGCAAGTATCTAAAAGGCATCGCTCTCATGGGCCGGATTTTTGTAACTGGAAATTTTTTACTAATTATGGCATGACAAAGTTTTGTGTTGATATTGAATCATCGTACTGTATATAATGATAAATATGGCAGCAATAAAATTTAATATGAATGTGTATGGTTTATTTACTCATTGATTAGGCGGACGCTAAAGATTTGAATACGTGTTGGATAGACCGGCAAAACTTTTCTGTTCTCAATCTTACAACGATACACGGATGTTTTTATCAGAGGGTTGCTGAAAGATGACGTTTAGGTCTGGCGATGAAATCCATTGTACATGAAAATATTTTTTTTTTACTAAAACAAGTAATGTTTATTGCTGGGTCTACTAGTTTTTTTTTTTTTTTTTTATCCCTTACGCCTTCACTGCATGAATATCACAGAGCAGAATCGGTGTATTGAGTACTGCATTAAATATATATTTGTACGCATCACATATACATATACACAGTTACAACGTCCAATTTCAATAATCGCTACTGTATTTAAATTTCGATGTCTCTTCAATCGTAGTCATCAAAATGGTCCATTTCTTCATTTTGTCCCTCGTTGCCCCGATCTTCATGTGGCCCAGCATCGCTTTCATCTTCAGTTCTCACTCGCCACTCGACGTCGCCCCATACAGCTCGAATCTCGTCCGAAACCGCAAATCCGCTGTTGGGACCAAGCAACTTCTTATATGTCGCATTTTCCTCGGGTGTCAGTTCCACAGGATGTCGAAGCAGACCCGAGCACGACCAGACAACACCTAATGATGGGGCCACATTCTCACATTTTTCACACACGTCCACGTGGGCTACCAAGGTAACCTCAGAGACCAATACGGTAGAGCCACAAATTAAACATAGTCGTCCGGACTGTGCGGTCAACGAAAGGGTACGACTAGGTCCGTTATACACCCATTTTGGTGAAGGTTCCTTCGTCTCCAAAAACGCAATCGCAGATCGAACCTGTTCTAAATGATTATCGTCCAGAGTAGGCCCATCTAAGCCGTAAGTAAAAGTTACTTCCTTATAGGTGGCATCTGGAGCATGTTCGCCTTCGGGCTCCAGTAGTCGTTGAATTCGTTGTTGAAACCAGTCACCCGAGGTGGTAATCGATATCAAATTGAAGAAGACGCCAGTCTTATCGGTTCCAACACTCTTCTTATAGGGAATTATACAGGAACCAGCGCACGGCTGTTGCAGTCTTTGTAACACGGTCGTGGGTACATCTTCACCATATTGGTCTTTATAGAAGTAAGCTAGATCCATTGGATATCCAAACTGAAGTTGCAATCCGCGCGTTCCGATATTGGGGGCAGGATATGTTGGATCGAGATCGAATATCGTGCTGCGTTCGGATGAACGCACCATAGCTAAAAAGTTGCCATCGACAGTTGTCAGTACCTGAATTCCGAACAACGTCTTTGATCGTGGCACATAATGATTAAATACAGCCATTGGCTGCATCGAATAACGAACATCCCACACTGATAGAGTATCGCTGGCAAGCAAGAACATCTGGTTCACATTGCGTGGGTTTAACTGCGCCGAAAGAAGCAGTTCTTTGGGCAGCAAGTAAGGACAAGTGGCGGGCTCGACCAATTTCGTGGGAGACGCGTTGGTCCGTATGTCCATGTGAGAAAGAGACCCGAAGGAAACAAGTGCAAGGTGCCGTGGATGCGTCCAGAACGAGATGTCCTGAATATCCCTGATACCCGTTGTTTTTCCTGGTGATTCCTGTGATCCCTGTTGGGCGATCTGGTAGGTGACCTCACCATCGACAATATGCACGGCCCCTCGACTAGTAGCAGCTAGTTCACCCTCGATATATGGGCTGGATGTAAACGCATCAATCTTCGGTACATTCATCGTTGCCACCACCTCATCACCACGTAAGACGCTCACACTGTCAGCAGACAGCACAGATACAGTGACCAAGTCCGGGTTAAAATTTTGAACCTTCACAGCGAGGGGATGCTCATGTTGGCTCAGTTTCTCTGGCATCCTATCGCTTGGCTTTCCTGCATCGACTCGATGGGAATATAGCCCTGCCATGGGTCCTCCGTAGAGGATTCTGCCACTGCTTAGTTCGATTCCAGGTTCATAAACTGCAAACGCTAAATGTCTAGAAGTCGACTCTGTTGAAGCAACGTCTAATACGTTCAACGGCCCGGTAGCTGCCAACGTATGTCTATACTGCCTGGATGGGTTGATAGCGAGCGATGGCGTAATGAGAGCGCCGTGTCCTCCGACATCGACGTAGTTGGCGCAATTGTACGGAGTCCTTTTACAGATGTTACCCGGCTTTGTCATACGTTCGAGATCGGTGTGCACCTGACGATTGTGCCACAAGGGGATCACTAACCGGCCTTCCATCAGATCACCGTCGGGAAGCTGCGGAAAACATCAACTCTATGCATTGAACAGTCGTTTAAGCAAGTCTCTATCTGAAAATTTATTTAGCAATTGGTTTATGCAGGGTGACCAAATAAGTCCCATAAGCCTATGGAAAAAAAACGTTTGATTTGAAGCTTTTAAAAATAGTATTCATTTACATTAATTTTTTAAAACCGTAATGCATTTGTGTGTGTAACCGCAAAATAAAGGGAAAGAAACACAACGCAGGATGTGGCTTTAAAAATAGATATATTAGTTTCTCTTTTGTTTTGAAAGGTATATTTCCGCACGAATATATCAATATATATATTCGTACTGTGCATAGTATTATGTGTTTGAACCATAAATGTGTCATTGTTTAAATTAGATATATGTACTTAGAAGAATTCATCGTTTACGGTAATGGACTCTACTATTCAACAATAAACAAAAGTAATAGCTTTTTTTATCAATGTTATTTAAAAAAGTGCTAGATATATAGAACTTCTCTAGCACAAACGTTTTCTTTTTTCCGCATGCAATTTAGACAGTATTAGTACAACTTGTAAAAGAAAACAGCACTACACAATCTCATTTGAACGGGCGCTCTAAACATACCTAATAATTTCACTGTCTACCAGGATGTAAATATCCACTTTCTAAAGAAATGGTCTGAATTTCATCTCCGGTTCTAATGCCGTTGAGTATTGCTTCAGACGGTTGGCTTTCAGCTCAAAACAAACAGTGTGTCCGTGCCCAATTCCTAACTCAGACCGTTTAATCATTTGATATCTCTAAGAATGGTAGGCGTTACTGGTGCCTCATCATGGAGACCAAGATCCACTGCCTAATTAACGACGACCAGCAGGTCGAAATTGTTTAAATTACTGTTTTTTGCTTCGCATTTTTACTTATTTTTTGTCAGCAATTATACGAAATCATCTCTTTTTACTCATCTGGGGATTTCTTTATAGACCTATAGCTCTTAACCTTAAAAATAAAACCGTACTTTTCCTTTATCCCTTATTTTTATTATTACTATTGCCTTTTAATATTTTTTGCTAACAGTAAGATTAATGAATCAGACCAAATTATGGCATTTTGATTGTAGTGGCCTTTCTTGCGCAACAAAATGGTGTTCTATTTGTCGGACATTCTTCGGACTTCACTGATGTAGTACTTTATAACGATGACTTCAGAGCTTCGCATTGCGTGGTGTCGCATAAGTAACAAACGCCTTTTAAGCCCTTGTTGTACGAAACTCTTTCCTAATGAAAATATACGCACTGTCAAGATCAACAGATATCACAAATATAACAGAACGGAGAAGTGTTGTACGCAAATGAAAAAAATCGGCTGAACCAAGCATACAAATTTGCGTTTCATTTTTCGACACCTGCGCTATGAGCACGGCGTAAGCGGTCCATAAATCCTCATAATAAGAATTATTGCATACTTCATTATGTATACTCACCCTCACTTGACTAAACTGAGATTATTGCGTAAAAGTTAAAGGTCTATATTTGACGAACACTAGTTAAAATGTACACTTCGAAATGTTTAGTGATCCTGAATAAACACAAGTTTTTTCATTCTCGTTTAAATCTATCACGGGACCACCGGCTCTGTTCTATTCGAAGAGGAGCTGAAACGAATGAACGTATTCTTGTTCACGAAAGACTTAGACTCGGGCGATCCGACTGTGAGAAGCCTGCAGTATTAGGTAGTTCCAGTAATCCCACTTACCATATAATTATACACACTTGCAATTAGTGACCGCTATTTTTTCCAGGCAGGCGTTTAGCCGCCCAAGCTATCACGCCAACGACAGTAACACACAGTTGAGAGGGCAAAAAAAAATCCGAGTTTTATATCTGGCGCTACTGCTAAGCATTTCCTTAGGTGGCTAAACTCTGCTAACACGAAAAGGTACATATCTGTGCAAAATTATAAACCCAGACCGCTATGTGTCCCAAAGTTCAGTAGGAAAATGTAGTAGTTCAATAGAGATATGTAAACAAACGTTATAATACATGCATACGTACATCCTGCAATATCTCATGAACAGTTGAGAAACGATGGTAGGGTACTTGTCCACACTTCGTTACGTTTATAAGATCGAGCTAAATCTAAAATTAAAATAAGAGATTTAATTGTTTAAGCTCCTTGGTTGCAGTTTATTCAGGAGGTCACAAAGCGTGCATATATAATGACAGCGATCATGAATGATAATTGTGATTCTATTATTATGAATAACCCAATAATGAAACATACTATATTCGCTATCTAAAATGGGATAGTCGATCCGTAGTATTGAAAATTAATGAAATAGTTGACATGACTACGGCCAATGACGAGTATATCAAAGGTAAAGTGCGAATGACATATCTACGATCTAAAAGAGCTTCTGTAATGTATATGCATACATGTATATTTAGCTCAGTGATATAAACTGATCATTTACAACAGGCTTAGATAGTGGCATCGAGATATTTCTAGCCTTCGTCATATAACACTTATTTTTTGTATTATATAATAATTTCTGAAAACATGTTGTTACTAAATGGTGTTGTACCTTGTTATATGTTTTTAAAAAAAAGGTCAGATTAATTCTCCGCCGACAATATTGATACTTATTTTGGTCACTCAAATAAGCAGTCGCTTATTTCTACAATTCAGTATCTCGTTAATGAATTGTAACTTACTTCGCGATACGAACTCTTCTAATTGCTGCAAAGGCGTTTGGCGAACGACTCACACATAGCATTTTTCGCAGCTGTATGCGACACTTTATTGTTGTAACTATCTACGATATAAGGCATTTGCTGAGTTTATTTACAAGCCATGAAATCAGCAGACACAGTACAAGATTAATTTATATTTATTATATATGTGTATATTTTAACAACCTATAAAAGCCAGCATTGATGACACTATGTCATGTTTATCTTAACCGAAAATTACCTGGGTAGAGTGCTAAATAAGCCCAGTTATTTACTGAACGCTGTGATCCATTATTGGTAAATACCAACAAGATCTTCATATTTCTTCGTATATCACACTAGCTTCATTAGAAGCTTGACAATGGCCGGAACATAACAGAACAAAAGATACAGACTGCTCACCATTACTCACTGCAAACAAATAAAGACAAACGCCTTGCCTTGAATGAAACGTAAGACAGGAAAAAGGTTATCATGAAAAAGTTCTGCTTAGGCAAACTTTCTTACAAAAGTCGTCGTAAAATTGGTTTTCGTATGCCCGTAAAACCGTGAAATATGTTTCTTGACGAATTGCCGCGTTTAAATATAGTAATATTGACAGGCTCTTACAGTCAGTGCCACAGTGGCGTTAAAGATAGTTGGTGTTCGTCAACTTGCATGGGGCTCATCAAAAGGTTTCCAAATTCCGGTCTAACGCTATTCGGACTTTCTTTACTTTTACTCGTACAGAAGAAATGTTATTCATTTATCTTTTTTGTGTGTAATAGATGTTAAAGCGTACATTAAATCGATTTAAGCGTATCTGTAGTAACAACGCTGGAGCCGCTTCGTGCATCTCGCCCAGGTCATCATCAAATCGGCCGAACTCTAATTGTCTTCCATAAGTGATTTGGTTGGTTGTACATTGGTCTAGCGTCCAAACAGATCATTTGTAGAGGGCATTTGACGTTGGGGTCCAATGCACTACTTGCTTGATTGTTGCTGGGCTGAACATCAGACTCAGACCAATAAGAAGTAACCGGTGAAAAAGCTTTAAAGTTGTTCCATTTGAAGGTTCGTTCTTCAAAAGAACTTTTCCGCTGGCGGCGAATTATCCATCGTAGGAAACATTAAACTTATAACCTTACTTAACTAAGATTTAAGATATAGGTACTCTGGATCGTGATTTTCATAAAATGGCCGCCGCCAAGGGCAGATTGAGTGATTTTTTATCGGTCGTTGCTTCAGTTTCTGTGTGTTTTTTGCTTAAGATCATAAAAAAAACAAGGGCGGGAAGATGTGCTAGACTGAGTCGAAAAAGCTTCCGCGAACTTTGGCTGTCGGCCTTCTCGTAGAACTTGTACGAGCACCATACAAGGTACAGGTTAAGGGGCAAAGTAGTTGCCGTAAATGTCCACGTCACCACATCCGTGAGCGGAGACGCCAGACAAATAGCTGCGCAAAGCGAGTAAAGCGAACAAGCGACATTAGAGACAATGAACTGGTTATTAATATTACAATTATAAACACTCTGTTTTCTCAAAGTAAAGAATCGACACTGTGACCTGAAGCGAAATCGTGGTGCTATTTTGATATGTGCGTACTGTATAATTACCTCATTATAAACATACGAACGAAAGAATTTCTATTAGAGGATGTTTATTAAAGAAATAGATTTTAGTTTGTAGGAGAAGATCGTCAAAGCTCTATTACCTGTTATAGCTACTGAATGTCGAAGGGCAACTCTTCGACAAAGATCAGGATCTGTAACCGACATCATGCGATATCCCGCTCTCGAGTAATCCGGTCGTAGGTTCCACGACAGCGCATTGAAGTGCGGAAACTGCCATGAATATAGCAAGACGCCGAGTAACAGCGCGCCTGGAATACGATCGGTATTTATACGAATGATTATGCATACAGCAGTATAATGTGAAAGACGAAACAAATAAGACACATCAACCCGGAATCACCGTCTAGCACAACGAATGCCGAATTCATATTAGTACATTACGCATTTACGACAAAACGGAAACTAATAGAAATCTACTAGAATATAAAGGTCTTTTTCGAATTCATTAGTCGAAAGAACACTTTTTTTTCTTTATTCGAAAAACTGCAGTATAAGAACGCATTAATTTGCATGTGCCCAACCAAATCAGAATCGGAGGCCTTCTAGTTGTAAATCCCTGAGCCTACCGCCTTCTCCATGCCACCGCAAACTCGAACTATCAAAGTGTTATTCCACTTTGACCGCTCGGCGCAAGCCATTCCCGTCATGGCTTGGAGACACTTTTTAGGCAAACCGCAGTACGATCAAGGTGAACCTAAAATTTCAATTCATCTAAAAGCAGCTGCAGCGGAGTCGCTGTTGTTCAGGTTGCAGCATCGCGAGAAAGGCTGACATCCTTTGTTCATTTCTCGATATCTTTGTGAAGGGACAGCGGTCACCTGGCTGCCTACCAAACTTAATAATATCTAGTGAGGAGGTCTTCGAGGTGCAGATAGTTTATTCAATGCCTAGGCGTCTCAAACAATGCTTAACAGCAGTACCAAGTATAAGACTCGAAATATTAATCTATGCCCTTTTCTTGGTAGCAGTTTTCCTTATGTAAAATTTAATTACGCGTGACGCTTCGCAGTTTATGATACCATTTTGCTATTTTTCGACAATAACAATCCACGTTCCATCCTATACGATATGTTCCCGTGATAGTGTACTAGCCTAAAGCAATGCTCATTTACTATTTAACTTAGGTAGAAAACAACGATTTATTACTCAACTGTTTCCCAATATCTCAGGACTTCTAAGCTCAACATTAGCCCCGGCACCCGGCTGTTATTATCTAATGAGATTCATTAACTCGAACATTACGTGAGTTACGTTGCCAGTCTATTTCCTTCGTCTACGCTACCGATTGCTTTTTGTCTTTTCACGCTTTATTATCGCCAAACGCAATGCCCGCGTTAGAGGGGCTGGGGCTTCGACATGGGCAATAAACCATTGTGATCACGAATAAGACACGCGCACTCACGAAAAAACAAGTAGGCCTTACAAGCATATTAATTGTAACGTTTCCTTTGAAGTCGCAGTCACGATCTCCACCTTGAGAACTAATACCTCTCGTCTCGATGCTGCCACGTAAAACAAAGGGTGGCATCCCGAAACGGACGGGTTTGCGGGAACCTCACTATTTCTCCACTTGAATGGCTACCGCTTTTTGCCAATTCAAGTAGAACAACAACATAGAGACAACCATGTTCAAAGAGCGATTATCGCAATAAATCAAGCAAGCAGACCCCAGACCAAATGTCGTCGTACCAACAGACTTTTAGCATCGACAACTATTATATAATGCGATACAAAACGCTAAGTAAGAACAGCGATAATAGCCAGGAGAAGTAACACAACCGAAGTAACTGAAAGAAAAAATGCGGAAAAAGCAGAATCTTAATGATAACTAACTTAAAATGCATGAATCGGTCAAGGGATTCCTGCGAAAACGCGAAACTGCACTTACTGCCAAGACTACGGGCAGCTGCACTATCTATACATATCAGCGCATGAATTATTATGAAAACGAGGCCAAAACGATTAATAATGTTAGACTCGAACTGTTGGCCATTCCGTGCTTGTTCAGCGGTTTGGGGTGGGGGTGGGGGGTAATCATGTCACTTGTGTGGCATATGTTCAAAAGAATCCATAAATGGAAGATAGTCGTGTTTTTCCGTTACAATAGTTGCTAATCATATGAGTAACACAACGAAAGATAACTGCATTGTAGTATAGAGGGCGCCTAGATTCGTTGATGATCAGTTCAATACAACAATAGTTTGTGTTCGTTTCTAATGTGTATGTCTAACAGTACTGACCAATCGATAATGATCTTCGTTAAATATTTCTTCAGCAACACCTACCCTCACCAACATTAAGCGCATTCATTTCAGCCCTAGAGACGCTTCAACACTTTTCGGTTTTCCCCACACCAAAGCTATCCTTTCTCATCATTGATCCTGTTTCACGTTCATTTCTCTTCGTGTAGATCAACTCCATGACGGGGTCCGATTTTAAACCAACGAACGCCGCTGATATAACGAGAACATGCGTGTTACCTGGCGAAGTTCTAAGGCAGCCTAGCCATGAATAGGTGTTGCCAGCTTGTGTTTCGTTTGTCGCGCAAGCCGTCCCGTTACACGGACATTGTATCTTATATCATCTTCAACGTTGCTCGCGAGCGCTCATAAATAGTCATTCAGATGGGAGCCCCTCTCAACAGAAAAATCTATTTGTTATGTAGCATTTGATTTGTCGGTTTTTTTTTTGTCGAAGTTTTGTTAGTCAAGCTAGGCAACAGAATAGGATTCAGCTCTACAATTTTATATTTTTGATGTAAGAAAATTTATCTGTTGTATGAAGTGGACCATTTCGCTATGTTAGCATTAGATAATAATAGTTAGCTCGCGCGTAGCTTTCCGATTGCGCGGAACGACTTATCACTGTGGTAACGCTTGCTTTTTGCCCCTATGTAAATTCACTTTTCGACTACAGAGATCTGATTCTTATGAAATAGTCGCCTGGCAATATATCAGCACCTAGTCCGAAAGCAGCTTCAACTAGGAAGGCTCTAAATGGAATCATTTGTTAGCTTGGATGTTGTTCATTGGCTGCATAATCAGACTTCATTATAACAGTCTCGAAGGCTGAGATATTACATACGGCCTAAGCAAGAAAGCTATATGAGAGAAAATGATAGTCTGGATGAGGCCATCTATACCTTTATGGACATCGCGGGACTTCTAATAATACATATTTTAATAATGCATTTTGAAATACGTTTCAAGTGGGACCCACGTAAAACGTCCCATTACTGTGCTAATAAATCTATTCCCATTGAGAGAAAGGTTAAAATGTATATGTATATGTATATGCATGTGTAAACGCTTAAAGACTGCAGAGACGCATTGAGCTTTTTAGTGTCGAATACGAGTGTTTCAAGGGAAAACATGATAGATTTTTAAATGATAAGTTGCTCACATTAACATAGTTACAGTACTTAAAGGAAATTTTCTTGTACAAACGAACTTACATGCGGAAGTGATATGTTGATATACCATAATCATCTAAAATCAGTTGGCTTTGAAACCAGACCGTCTATTTTTCCACCCGAAACGAACTGAAACTTATTTAGTTTTAGATGAAAGTGCTATGTATAGTCACTTCGATAATAACAATAATAATATTACCGTCTTTGCAAACAACGAAAACAAGCCAATCTATGCCTATTAGAGAGTGTCATGTCAATGTCACAATCGTAAATAGGCACTAACGCGAACGGCGTTCACGATGAGTTTGTGTTGTAATAAATACACGTTATTCTTACTGTGGTGCCTAGCATAGGAAATGCCAGTCGTAAATTAAGGCACTGACACTAGCAGCAGATGCTAGGCTAAGAGAAACACACTGAAAGGTCGCCACTGACCTACAGAAGGAAACCAACGGTAGAGTGGTCAAGGGATTTGGTAGGGATTAATTGGCGTCCATTTTACTGCCTACCGCAGCAAAGATACGGTTCGATAAATAGGAGTGGCATGAAACACTGGACAGACTAGCTACGATCAGCTTGCCTAGGCTTTAACCACCAATCTAACCTATTATCAAGGTTATAGCAAAATCGACAGGTAAAAAACTGGCGCAAAAACAACGTCTTACCCCGACTTAATCCCGACTTAACAAGGCAGATTACGACCAATACAACGACGTAGCGACATTATAATGCGATGAAAGGTCGCCGAAAATGTCTCGCCGCTTAGAAAGGAACTGCAGTCGCATGGTTTGAGTTGACGATTTCAAAAGCAGTGACCAAATAATTTAGCGGTATATTTAAACAGTACCATTTACGCCGTTTTATAGCCGTCCTCTACTTGAGGATGGACTTGTGATCCATTAAAATTCCAACAATGGCATGCAGTTCTTTATGTGTCTCTATATGGCCGATACGTCCTTCGTATATATATTGAGCATATGACGGACATATCATATATATGTTTGTGTGTGCATGTGGGTGCGCTAAGACAAAATTAGCCACGGAAAGCACCTATATAGTGATGAAGATCATTCGAATAGTAGAAACCATTTGGCCCTCTCACAGATTATTGAGGACTGCCGTAAAAGCTGAAAATACCGAATCAATAAGGAAGAACATTTTCGTAAAAAACTTATGGAATATCACACTAATAAACAGAATATCAGAGATTAGCCGATCCCAATCGACAACGCGGAATTTGCCTGCATTTTCATGACCTGAAAGCAGTCTATTAATATTGATGTAATTAGTTCGTACCAGAATCGCTGAAGCCTAAAATTGATTGAAAGAGCTAGTCGGCGTCGAGGCAAATATTTACCTCTGTTCTTGACAAGTAACTTACTGGCAGTAGAAAGCATTTCAAGGACATATATCGTCGGCGTTAGAAGTTAGGTAAAACTAAACGTGGTAGAATTGCCAATTGCTTCAAAAATTAGCATAGGCAATAAATTACTGTCTATACTTTTCCATTATAGTTTGTCTGAAAATTGCTTTGCTTAGCGGACAGCCAACAGCGCAATCTGGACTCATTGAGCTGAGCATGCATAATAAGTATGGAACCTTTATTCGTTTGTCTCGTCTTTTTTTTAGTTAGTCCTAACCATGAAATTGTACATTTATTGTCTGTTCAAATGATGAATACTATTATTTTTACTATATATGCTGTTATGTCTCAGTTTCGTTAAGGAGACACTTTCCAGGCATCCCACATGACAACAAGGGCTTTATCTTCAACCCCATACCCCCCATGGCCTTACTAAGCTTTTGTTGGGCTTAATAGCCGTTTTGTTTCACACACATTCGCATTGTAAATGTACTAGCTTTCGAATCGCGATGGTGACGAATCAACCTATGAACTTCCTACAAATAACATAACGACCATGTACATGGTGAATTCTCGTATGCTGGCATCGTTATTCCGGCTATATGCAGGAAGGGCGAATATTGCTTGGCAAATTTTCTGCGGCAAAGCATCCCCGGTCGAAACATTACTGGTAGATCAGTAGGCATCGTCAGAAAGCGAAGTTTTTGGATATTAGAAAATTGGAATGATAAGGTCACTACCGATTTCTTTAGTAGTCATCATCGGTAGTTCGCCTTGCTGGCTTTAGCGTACAACGAAGCAAAGCTCTTTTAAGGCGGATGCATCGACTAGTAACTGCATCGCCACCGTGGCCTTAAGAACGATACTTCAGAGAAGTGAAGTTAGCTCTCGGAAATTGCACGGCGTAGTGTTTACGGACAGAGAATTTTGGTTGGTACCAAGGAAAAGGGTAGTACAGATCTTGTGTATGAACGTTTTTTGCACTCATTTTAATGGCATTAATTTATGACAGTGTAGCGGAAAAATTAATTTGAAGACTAGTTTACGTGCTAGTGACCGTGACAAGGGCATCATCAGCCATCACAGGGGCATCTTCAATCGCTCACTCGGACACAATCGTCATAAAACGTGAACGACGCCGACGATGAACGCGTACGGTTTCCAACATGGGCGCAGACAAAGTCAACAGCGCTAGCAACAGCCGCGTTAGCAGACTCAAATTCCCCGATGTTTACATCACATAAATATCCTTTTACGTCGTGTCTGCTGCCGTAACCGTGTGCACGTACCTGAATCTGCGGCTAGGGCTGCTACTGAAGCTGGCGCCGCCACTGTGGTAACTTCTACTGCTGCTTATGACGTCAGAGCCACCCTCTCGGCAGGGCCTGCTTCCCTTTCACTGTTTCGAGGTCTTCTATTTGCATTTGTGGTCCCATTTTAAGTCCAGATAACAATCCAGTATTTGTATGTATGTGTGCGAATAAGAAACAAGTTTTATTGCATAATGCTTCGTCACGCATAGCAGTCGTCACCGATCACCAGCGGAGACTGCTTACGTAATAAACTGTCACCGCAGTAAAAGTTGTACAAATATAATGTTGCAGTTATTGTTCTGGTAGTAATAGTGCCGAGGATCGAGCTATACTGTTTCTGTTAGCGTATAGCTGGCTACCATAGGAGGCTGGCCGTAACCACCGCCGGTGCTGACTTTGTTGAGTTTTTCCTCGATACGCTCCTAAACTGACGATAACCCGTGCAGGACAACATTTGCCAGGCATAGATAGAAGCAACCGTCGGTAGCACAACGGACAACTGCACGATAAGCCTAATACTGCACTAAGCTTAGAAAAACCTGAAAAAATTCTGGAAATATGAATTTGTAAAAGAACTAGCTGCGGCTCAAAAGTCACACAATTTTCACAACAAGAGAGTTCCGTTAAAGACCTAAAAGAAAGAGTTAAAATGATTTAACGAGCAATGGTTGTGTTCGTACGTTGAGGCATTTTAGTTATAATATAGGTTAGATGGTAGATGTAGAGATAGGTTAGTCATATGGTAAGTATTACTCATGTCAAAATATGGTTATACGGTTGGTTGTACTGTACCGCAGTATCGAGAACAACACATGCAACCGAATTGCTTTCCTGTCGTATGTTTTTCAGCCCTCAGGGACAATTTTTCCATAGCGATTTTTCTAGTGAATGCACTATGTATCACAGTTGTTTTTTGCTCAACTAGTCAAGCCATCATTAAGTTATTCTCCGTCCACTGTATAGGCTAATAAAGGCAGGAAAATAATCGATCTGATAAAGAGTAACAGCAATAAGGGGGCATCCAGTGATGCGAATGCAACATCGTCAGATCAGTGATGGCTGTCTGTAGTACGCCAGCCTTAATAACAAGAGGAACTATGAGCACGCACTGTAGTAGTTGGTGCGAAGTCTCACGTAGGGGCACTGCGACTCCTCGGAGGAAGCAGTCAAAGCGGTAAGCTTATGTAATCGCTGCCGGTGCGGCACGCCGTTTCATCAACAATATTAATTGCAATTGAAGTCAATGCAATTATCTGTTTACCTGACCAAGCACGCAAACACACTTCATTATATTTATACGTCTGTATATTTGTGTGTGTATAAGAGCTTGATGCTTACAAAAATTGCTTAAGTTAACAGATAGGCAGGACAGCAGAGCATCGTTCCACCGTTCCAGGTATCATCTAATAGATGACAATCAAGGAAACGAATTTGCTTGAGTTTTTGACGGGGAGCTCAAGGTGTAATAGGTTGCAGTACGTGTCCCCGTGATAAATTAGTAGGCACAGCCTATTTGTCTGCTAATCCTAGGAACATATTGTGATCTAGGTTTGAACCTGGGCATAGCCACACCTCAATTTGTTACCACTTTTTTGCATCAAATACCCCTCGACGGAACAAGTCGTTTGAACCTATTATTAAGTACTACTCGGAAAGCAAAAACTACTTGAATTACAGACTATCAGATCGCACCGAGGCATGTTTATACCCAGATGTAAGTTTCTCACTTATCGTATTCCAACTTTCTTTTTGGCTTAAGCTTTTCGCTGTGATTGCAGCGAAACACGTCACTAGATTGTTAAAACAATCGCAAACCCATAAAATACCCCACTGACCATTAGAATTAAACCAAAATATTGGTAATAGTAATAATAATAACCTATGATATCACTATGTTTGACAGTTAATCGTACTGTGTAATAACTGTCGAGTGGTCGAGTGCTTCAAGGAAAGTTGTGTATACAATTGAAAGTTGCGTAGGAGTATTCCTGAAAAGAATCATTGTTGATGTCCAGACAAAAATTTATTCTCAAAGTGGAGAATAAGGAACAAAACTTTACTGATAACGACGGTGGGCTAAGAAAACCATTAGAAATGTTTCGTTTCCCAGTTCTATCGAGATTCTACACCACTATCTAACACTTTGCAAAGGTGATCATAGGTAACTACTACTTCCCTGTTAAGTGGATGTCAGTGGTTAACGATACAGCTGTTGCCATCAGGACGCAAATACACAGGGCGATTCTGAGGGTTCCGCCGGGCAGCCAAGGTCGCCGATTGAACTAGGATTGAGATATCAACCAGCTAACCTCACTGCCAAGTCAGAGGGACCTCGAAATATTTTCCTTTTTATCTTCGGCAAAGATCGTCACAATCTCGCTACCCATAGAGCATCACAGCGAGTCATCTACTTCGATCAACAGTCTCACATCCCCAAATAAGCGAAAATCGCGAAGACGCACAAGGTTCATTCAAACATGACTAATTGAACTAGGGTCACAGAACATGCTCGATGCCGCTAATACAGACCAGCTTTTGTGTACACTTCAGCAGAAACATACATTTTACTTGAAGAACGATCTTCGTTAAAGAGTTGTCATTGAAAGAACATACTGTATAGATTATGGAAACTTCGTAGGGTCATTTGTTAATTCATAGACCACTCAAGAAGTGTTTCTTTTAGCTAGAGCTGCACGTTCTTTTACACACTCACAATGGACCACAAAATCAGAGGATTTTTTGTCATTTCGAATGCGTTGAGGGGATACGCTCAGGCCAATGGTTTAATCCAGAAGAATAAATAACGAGAGAACAGCCATCAGAAAACGCATTGCAGACGAAGACCCGCTTATCCTGTGTCCATCTCGGAACGTAGTGTGTAGCGGTCCGCATATTGATCTACGAATCTTAAGGCAATAGGGCGCAATCTCATTCAAAGCTTTTCCTTTGTTCAAAGCTTTCCGCAGTCTGAATTTTAAAATTTAGAGAGGACTTTTTCAGGTCCGTGCTACGATCAAACAAGGTCTTGCATCATATTGCCAGCGTTCCGCGCTGATCAATCGATGAAAGCTCGAAAGAATCCTTACATTCGTTCGCATTCATATTGAGAGCGTTACTACGTTCATCGTGCGCTATTTTATGCTCGATCTATTTGTTCCATTCTAAAAAAACTTCAGAACCCTTAATCATTCGGAACTAATGATGGTAAGGGGTAGGATGGCTCGCAATTCGCGATTCGCAGCTTCGGCATCTTACATACGTTTCCTGAGCAAGACTTGTTCGCGCGAAAGGCCAGGTGCTTCCAAGCCTTCATTCACACTCGAATTTCCGACTGAATCTCAAGCAGACCAGCCATCAATTCCTGACGCTTGCAATCTTTGTCGATACGCAAACGTCCGCCACTCACTATCGTAGCTATTCGAGACGATTCCGCTGGCTTCGGTACGCGCTAACAGCGTTTACGCTCTAGCTAGCCATCCAGCTACAGAAGCTAGTGCCCAACACTAGTGCGTTATACCCAGCAGCAAGCGTAGTCACAACGGCCAAGTTTTATCGGCCAGCGGCAGCGACGCCTGCTCTTGCTCCTCCGTCAGCGAGTTCACCGGCTCCTTCTTTCCGAGCGCTACAGAGTCCCTTTCAGTCTCTGCGAAACTCCACCCTCTGGCTTGTAATGGCTGTTGCTGCTGCTGTAGTTGCCTACGTACCCTTGCTCACTAACTAGCAATGCCATTAGCGGTGCGCCGAGGCGGTCACAGCCGCGTCATCTCACGATACGTCGCTTGCGCTGAACACACCGACTGCATTGACGCTTCAACGTTGCCCTAACGCTACTCTGGAGCTGCGCTCGCCGAGGGACGCGTCGCTTGCACGGGGCGAAAGTAGCCCTAGTCGGTCAGTATCGCCGAAGCGTCGTTCGATGGATATGCATGTGGGCAAGTTTTGTCATAGACAAAGACCGAAGCTTCTGCTGTAACTGGCCTTAAGGTTGCCAGGCTACCCTGTTGTCTATCGGGCCGTTTAGAGAATGCATGAAGCATTCGGGCTTGTCATCGCAGATACCTGAACATTACTCAAAGGATGATGCAGTTCAAATAGTTGTTTGTTTTGTTTTTATATTAAATAAGCTAGAGCCCAACAAGTAATAAAAATATTGCTGTGCTTTTATGCTTAGTTGGCTGTATCAGACATTAAATTGCTTTATTAGTTGTCCCGTGTGTTGTAAAACACTGTGCGCATACAGGTACTGACATTAATGGAAACCATGACACTTTAGCATGATCCAGATAAGCTGTCAATGATACCCGGATCTTACTCAATCTTTTAATATTCGTCGAACTCGTTGCATTGAATGATCAGCGAACGGACATACCAAAGCGTGACAGTACACCCATTACTATAGTCATTGCTTGCGTAGCATTCATTGCAGAAAACTATTCCCAGATTGCCAACATACCCTGACTAATCGTGTAAACCCATCCCGACTGGAAGAACAAACCAGATTCTTTGGTCACCACTAGAACAAGTCGACAACGCCGAACACATCAGTAGATCTAGCGAAACGACAGAGGAAACGCAAAGCTTCGGCTGTTGTTACTTTGCCCATTGACGCTGCTGCCGCTGCCATTGTTGTTATTGTTGTTTCATCGCGGCAGACATCCTTCATCGTCCCACGTTAACGGGGCGGGCTTGTTTGCTATTCGCCGCTGGTTCGACACCGGCGCCATGATAAACTCCCTCAGCCGACTCCACAGAAAACGGCAGTAAGCGCGAAACGTGTTGAGAATGGCTGCTGTTGTTTGTTGGGAACATGGCCGCTTGCGCGGGTTTATATCAACACAAGCAATAATAACAACGACAACACGACAACTGCTGTCCAGCCGTGACTGAGTGAGAGCAGGCAGTAAAAGTTGTTTAATGGTGGCAAATGATAGGGCTTTCAAGAAAGATTTTTGCTGTTATGCAAAGTCTGTCAGCCATATGCCATGACTTTTTTGCTGCTAGCAACAGACAAAGACTACTGCTGCTGCTGACACGGGGAATGGGATGGGATACGATTGTTGGTGCGTCATGTCGTAAGAATGATTGGAAAAGGGCAGGGAAAATTTTCATCATTTCTTAACATCTGTTGGGCGACAATACTACGTGACTATGTATAAAAAGTGCACAAAATCGACTTTATGGTAATACTTGATATTATGGTTAAATTCCAAAAAAAAATTAATTAATTAAAAAAAATTAAAAGGTTCTCCTAGTTTTCAATATTTATTCGTCAATACACATCACACGGTAGCAGAGGTGATGCATGTTTTAGTTGAATAGCCATCCGTAAACAGGCGATAAAGAGCGACCTATTTATTCGTCTATCAGTACGTTACTAACACCTTTTTCCATGAATAGCGCCTCAAGGTACATTTTTTGATCCTTCCACAAGCTCGCGCGGCAGTTCACCAGTGAGCTGTCGACGAAATGGCATTCTCGTGCGCATGACTCTTACGCGTTCGCATTTTTGATAGCAGCTATAATTTTTACGATTACTCCCTCACTTACAAGACTCTGTAGGTGTGCTTACAGATAGACGATTCGGTTCCATTGACGATTCATTTTCACTACGGTTTCCCTTCATTTCCTTTGCACGTTGAGCAAATAATACGAGACGTATTTATCAAAAGAAGATTCGGGTCTGTTCTGATTAACAGCCTCGTCCAGTACAATCTAGATAAACGATAGAAGCTTTGAGTCACGGGCTTGTCACATTTCAAAACAACAATATATATATAAAGGCCACTAGTACATTTTGTGCAATGTTCGTCTTGCCCGCTTTTATTAAAGATCTGTCATTAAACAGGCTTCCCGCGAAAACGATAAGGCGCTTTTCAATTAACATATTTAAGATTTTCTGACCATTCCCTGACTCATAGGCATTCTCGTACAGTAATAATTGTACACAATCGCTATGGTAACACAAGTAAACCGCCAAATTTGAAACACTACAAAGTTTCCGGTGCTTTTTCTGTCTTCGACAGGAAAGGCACAAGTCATACCGCATGCTCTGCTAGGACGTTTAGGACAACAAAGCTGACAACAGACCTCGTTTCAATTATTGTCAAATATCGTTCAAATGTTGAGAAGTCTCGTATCAATTATTGAGCGGTGTAATTTATCCGCCAGAGCCTTTCGCCTTCAGACGATAGCTTTCTTAAAAGAATATTTAAGACACAAATGAGCATTTGTTACAACCCATGAAACAGCATTTTTGCAAATCGCAACCAGATTAACATTACATATATAATGTAATGTGCTAAAAAATCAGTTTTATATGTAGCAGCAACAACAACTTACCACATCAGTAGAATGATATCAATAATGTATCTTTCGTCTGTCATATTTAGTTCCACCCCCCAAATGGAATCCCGGTATACCATATGCCTTCACCGAGCTTCAAGCTCATAAGCTTGAAATTAACAATTAATGGTAAATAATATTTATGCCCGATAAATCGACATCAGTACTACAGCCCATGTTCTGAAATACTGGCTCAACTTACTGCTTACTTGTTCAAGCTTGACGGTCGAAATGTCCCCCCTAAGTTAGCGGCTGAACTATGCGGCGGCCGCTATGGCGTTTACTATAGTTATTAATATCGAGGTCCACTACGCACCTGCATCCAGCGTCCCTGTAGCAGCTGTCCATCCCATTACCGGAGGGATTGCTCCAACAACACTTCCCACCCACGTGTTGACAATATGCCTTCGCTTGAGTGGTGTGTACATTGACGTGTATAGAAACAGGTTAAGGGCGCCAAGGCCTGCGGTCCATGCGCCGCACCCTAGGTAGAGGGTGGTAATTCCGGCGCAACCCGATACAACTGCAAAGGTCACGGCGCCTAGGGGACTGAAATGAAAAAACAAGCGATAAAAAATTAAACTGATCATTTTTTGCATTCGGTAATTACCGTTATTTTACAGTGTTAACATGCTAATATCGAAGCTGCGTAAGTTAGCTAGTAGAAGCAAGTATTGTTCCAACGTATGCAAAATAGTACTTTATTCACAGATATGTTATTTGAATTATAGACCTAGAAGCTATATTCGTTTTCTATCATAGACGTTCATATAGTTAATACGCAGGGTGTCTCTTTTGAAATCCTCCTGTAACGTGAACTCAGCTAATAATTTCTTATGCAGATTATAAGCGGCCCATGCTCGAATCCACGGCCCTATTGAGCCCATCTACATTGTAGAAATCTTAGATCAATATCTATTCAGACCTTGCTGTCCATAGCATCGAAAATTTAGCTGACTCCAAAAGTTTCATCGTGTTTGTTTCATACAAAATTTATTTTGTTGACGAATTAAGAAACTTGTTAATAACTACAACTTTTATACACTTTGATATAGAACGGAAAAGTTTTTTTTATGTAAATAAATTTCGTTTAAAACATCATATCTACTGTACAATATTAGAATGAATCTCCAATCCAACATACGGCCCACAATCGCAATGCCTATTTAGCCCCTTAAATTTTCCTCTGCCAACGAACTCAAAAGGACAATATATTTCATTGAATACCTCCTTCACACTTGGGCTTCGAGAACAAGCCAAGCGAATCCTACAATTCTCCCTGTAGGATAAATATCGAGCAGAAGTCACTCCCTTCTAGTCGTTTTTGCATTCGCACAGCTTTCCCGTGGTCACACGCCTCGTGCAGTTTTTCTACTATTGCCGTAACTACATGGTTTTCATCAGTTGTGCTATACAGAATCGAATGTAACATGTCACGGGTATGATTGATACAAACTTTCCAATATTCGAAGAAAAAAGACAAAAGCAATACAGTCTTAATTTTTTCAACCGAACAACCAATAGACGCCATTTTAAGCGGCCTATCTCAGCGATGAGGCCTGTTATTTTCTTCTACTGTTCCTGACGCCGCACTGCATAAAAACTCAAAGATATCTGTCCATACTTTTATGCCCTACGTCACAGCCCCTATTATTACCTGTTAGTGGCTTTTTCTGCTGTTTCGCGCCATAGTGTCGCCGATGCTCTGTGTGTCTTGGAGACTGTTTGAAAGATCGGTGATGGCACGATTGAGGTAATTGACTTTAAATGCGTGGACATTGAACTCTGCAGACGTCGTATATAGAATTGTAACTCTGGTAGCTAAAAGACAAGCAAATATCCCTTCATAGCTGATTTGTTATTAGACGGACCATGATCGCGTTTTCAAGAACTACTACGTCAATTGCGGTGTGGCCATACGGTGGATACGGTTACAATGGAGCAAGCGCGCACTAACTATGCAGCAAGATCTCAATATTGGTTCACGTTGGATAAAAAATAAACTCTCCACATTAATTCCTCACCACCGGCTCTTTGTATCACAGCTCATTGGAGTGGGTTCCATCCCATCGGTGCTAATGGTAGATGATTCGGCTGTTGAAATGTCTCTCGGAGAGACCTGTTCTGTCAGTCACGCATGAGTAAGAACACCTTTCTCTGTGGCGCGCGTATTATGGGTGGCGGTGATGAATTACCAGAAACAACTGAAAAAGTATCTTCTTTCCAGGTTTCATGGATTCATACCGTCTTTGCTTCCTTTATTTTTAAGGTAGCTCATTATATTGAATTGTATCCGGCACGATGAGTAACGACGGGTGAAAAGCTACATGAATGGAGAAATAAAGCTTTGTTGAGTTGGGCCTTTTCCTCTGTGAACCGCCAATCAACTGTACTCGTTGATGCAGTACAGTTTATTGGCAGCTAGATGGATAAGTCATACTGTAACACAATTGGTTCGATAGCGATACCTCTAAAAAGGCATGTTGAAGTGTTTGGCTACCTGATTGTGAAAGAAGATAGTTATCTGGCCAAATTGAGCACATAGCTGTATTGTATGATGGCAAATCATTTTTCAGGCTGAAAGTAATTTTACCTAGCAAATGAGCCGAAGTCGGTTTCTATCATCATTTTGTTCCCTTGTTCGTATTTTTGCTTCTCGTAATTACTCCTTTTAGGCCATCGTGAAGAGTTCGGCAAAAAACAGTTTGAACTGAAGAGGAGCCTGTTAAAAGTGCTGTCGAAGGACCAAAAAAATCAACTGAGCACATAATGGCTATAATGCTGGGTATGTTCCAGCCATTTTTAAAGTTCTACCGGCATAGCATACCGCGTTCGGCATAATACTTAGTGACACTTCATTACTGTACTTACAGCGAAATGGGCTTTCAAGCTTTCACCAAAATCAAAACAACAAAGTAAAAGTTGAAGAACAGAACAACCATGTCTGCTTCTGCTCTAAATACCCATAACCACAACAACAAAAACCACAACATGTGACATAATAGGATCGCCTTTAACACGCTCGTCTTAATCATCCGTCAATTTTTTACTGTTGTGCAATCCCGTTTCCACATTCCGTTCGAAATGTCACCACTCTAAAAGTACCACCTCTTTGTTGGGTCGCGCCAACTTCCAATTCGCTTCGCTACCAATACCTATCACAATGCTAGAGAGTAAAAACTCTACTAAGGGAACAGGTAGCACCACAAATAACCATTACAACAGCAAGATGCCCAATCAAAAACAACAATGGCTACCATCGACGAGCTGAGGCGTGGAGAAATCAAGGCGCTCAATAGAAGATAACGTTCATATCGTTGTTGTAACAGAAAAGAAAATCTGACTGGACGACACTCAACACTGTCCTAATCATACGATTCAAGCGTAACATATGTGCATGATTATTATCAAAGAGATCCTCTCTTGAAGGCTGCGCGCGTGTGTGGCACTATTGGAATACGGTGAAATCTTCTTCACTTGTCAGAACACAGCCAGACCCTGACGCAAAAGAGTTCATCGCCATTTCGACTCCAAATCATATCAAAGAACAAAACGCAATACGAAAGATACAGATATGCGTATATTTCACGCAGTATATGGAATTAAAATAAAAAAATATGGTACACAAATATATGAATTCTGAAATTTTAAAAAAGGAACGCGCTAGTATAAATCGCATTTCCATCGCAATGGGGAAAATTACTGAAAGATCACAAAAATACTGAACGGGAAACAATGTCTAGTCACCGGGTCAACGCACTGTGCCAATTCTACGTTAGATTAAAAAAGAATTACGTTCAGCCGAACACGTAGCCACATTCGAGTAACCCAAACCCTGACAGTCGTATGCGACCTCGCAGTGTTTGAAACCCATAGCGAATTTCTAAGCGTAGACATCACTACACATGAAAGATACAACGTCACGAAAGAATGTAACGAGTTGTCAAATAGAAAGGATAAGACTCGACTGAAAATTCCCCTACGTTTGAAGTCGCGGGGTCTCAGCTGTTCTAACCAGCTATCAAAGCTTTCCAGACAAACAAAGCCTTTCTTTGATGGTTTCCAGCAGGAGCCAACTCATAGTGTGACGTTAGTGGTAATGGCGGTGGAGAAAGAACCACAAATCAGTAAGTCATACAAAGGCGGATGGTACCTCAGAAGTCGTCTCTGGTTTTCGGACAATCTGTCTGTCTCTATTCGATTTTTGTCAACACATCGACAAACAAAGGGAATAACACACCACACATAGAGTATATGAAGAAGATACAGAGAAGCTAGGCGTGACAGTGAGCTTCCTCTGAATCGCGCCGACAGCCAGATGGTGATGGGACCTTGTGACTTCGGAGTAGCTGACTAATCGTAGAATTGTTCGTGCAATATATGCATTACCCTGCGGGATGTGCGGAGAGAATTTTAATAGTGGTCGAGTTTTCGTACTGTAGAAATAAAAGGGTGGATCGACGGTAATTCACCACTGAATTGGCTTTTTTCATTTATATTACTGCTGCAGATTTAACTTCTTTTCAAAAGCATACCGCTACTCCTATTAATAAATACATACAACAGCGATTATAGAAACGGGTGGTGTTCATATGTTCTATGTACTTGCCATTACTTTGTTCAGTTGGCTACAGAAACACGTTCGTTGGGCCTGGGCAAAAGAGAAACATCATAAAGGAAATTTTATAAACTAAAACAGTATCTGTTTTCCATGTATGCAAAAAGATATAGCTTGTTGCTTTATTTTTTATAAAAAATTGTCAGCCATCCCTGGTATGGGTGCTCCCCTTAGCCGCTGTTCACATAAGACCAAATGTACGAAATACAATTAAAAGAACTCTCAAAGATTCAGAATTATTAGAAAGGGATTTCCACAGCATCCTCTGTTTCACTACTCTTGTCTGCAGCAAAGACAGTGACTATCAATGTTATATTGTGTACTTCAGAATTCATAAACCTCCTGGCCTCCGAACTACTTTCTAAATTATTCCTGCTCGACATAATAATCAATTATTTGCCTCTTATCGCTTGCCATACGTCGCATATTTCCTTTCAATACGGTAAGCCGTCTAGACAAACGCATTACGCAGAATTATTTCAGCTGACGGCTTTATCTCCTTACGTGTCTTAAAGATGCACCAATCTTGTTTAATTATTCGTTTGTCGTGTTGATCCCTTTACATCCTTCAGAACGTTCGATGCGCGCTGTAGAGATTGTCCGCTTGATAATCCTATGCCACCACAGTATAGTACCTAAGTAATTGGTTCGAACCCCACGATCCGACAAATGCAAACATACTAGACGTGAAATATATAGAGAGTTATTACAAAGTATACAAAGCAAATCCCATCCATGCAAGTTACATTTAATTCATAGGTGAGAAGATCAGCACCGTCGCGCTCTATTATTATTATTATTATATTAGAATGCTAAGGACATGTCTAAGATTGATTGTCTTGACGTCTATCCCGGTTTTTCTTTTGGCTTAATTATGGTTCTCTCAAAGACGCACACCAGGCTGACTGAATAATGCCCTTACGCCTTCTCA